TCGGTCTGAAATCCAACAGCGCTCTTTCCGATGTTGTGTGCGTGATTACGGCGCCCGGATCGGGCGTATTCGACTGGTATGATTAGCGTCCTATTCCACCCATGCACCGAATGCGCTCCCAGAGGAGCAACACATTACGTCACGGGAGCAGGTGTGTTACGCTGCCGGAGGTCGCTACACTAACAGTTGCAGAAATGCTGACAAAAGAAAAAAAAAAGGGAGTAATCGCGGAAGTCGCCATCATCTCTGCGTCCCGACTCGTGGCTGTCGAAGCCTCCATGAACTGTCCGACTACAAAAGCGACCTACCGCAGAACAGGCGTCAGCCCACATCTAGCTCCGCCGCTGTGCCACCACCATGAATCGCGGCAGGCAGAAGCATGACACTTCTAGACTACATCAGGGGGAAATCGAGGGACCGCTTTTGAGGGAGCGATGAACACACCCGTCGGGCTACGCTTTCCAGACATGTATAGCATGTTATGATATACCCTCTATGTGTCGCGCAGTCTATACCTGCAACGTCCGTCCGATCCATTGACTCGATTCCGTCTGAAAAGACTGAAGCTCAGCACGGGATCCCGCGCCGTGGATCTGCGGGCACGCCGCGGGAGACGCCCAACCTCTTGCTCGTCTCGCTGATCGCCAACTCGACGCGTTGTCTCGTGTGCCAACAAGTAACAACCGCCGTTTGATGCACTGCCCCCGCGTACGCCCATAAGTCTCGCCGTGAACGTTCGCGTCGAGCGCGTCCACGCCCCGGGGGCCGCGCCCCAACGTTTTGTTTTCGTCTTTGGGGCGAGCTGTTAGGTCGGCGGGCGTTGTGTCAGAAAGGGCGAGGAGCTCCCGATTAATGAGAGCGGAAGGGGTCGGCCCGGCGCAAGTGGTCCTCCGCAGACACCTCCCCAACGCTAATGCGTGGAATGGAACTCGGCAAGCTTGAGCGTAAGTTATTTTTCTCTTTTTTTTTTTTTTTCTCGTCTGGGGTAGCATAGACGTGTTAGAGCCTGTCACACACGGTCGGGGCTGAGGAAGCAGGCTGAGTCTAATGCTAAAGTTAAACGCAGGCTTAATAAGAAGTTAAGAACAATACGTGGTCAGTCATAAGTTGATATACCTTCCTGTACCTTCTTTCATCATATATGGGAGAGCGCAGACAAAGACTAGAATACGTGCAAACATGGACACACAAACTGAAATCGCAGTCACAGCGTATTCCGTGCGCTTGATTGGTTTAGCCGACAATGGCGCACGCATAGAAAGATAGGGAAAATCGCAACGTTGCTCCTTTGATGCTTGCTGCTTAATAAAATCTATTCGCTCGTAGCGTCGATTGTGCTCTGTCCCGTGGAGTATATACAATTTTCCAGCGGTCACCACCCGGATGATAAATGTCGAGTTGCTGTGCTGTTAATCGGGGTCTATTGGTTTATATCTGGGCAGTCAATTGCGTGGACGCATTGTGCGCGTCTGTATTTTCGGGGAGCGTTTATCGGAGAACCAATCATTCCAATCTAGCAAAGTACAGTGATTGGCGTTTCACGGGCTCAGTTCGTGCTTACCGTCACATCGCAGGCTCTGCTTTTTTTTTTTTTTTTTTTATTTCCGAAAGTATATTTTCGACCTCTTCATTCGACAATCTCCCCCGTGGATCGCTGTGATTGGCTCTCTTAATGCTTGGTGTGACAGACCACTGCCACCCAGAAGATAAGGCCTGCGCGCATGACGTCATCGTTAGTGGACTGGCGACACGCCCAAAAAGCGGCAAACACGCTCAAGCTTTACGAAAGACGACGCAAAGCGGCAGGCGCTGCGTCCGTCTTGGCGTCGCCGCGTGCCAGCGTCGCGCTCTCTGTGAGACGCTGCGAGACGCGTTGGCGGCGACGCCTGAAACGCGTGCTAGGCGGAGCTGCGTGGATCCACTACTGATGACGTCAGAGGGGGAAGACGCAGGCCTTTGTGTTTTGGGTGATATTGGATAGCGTCACTGACAGCTTTAAGAAACGCACGGCGTGGTTCATTGACCCTTCTTGCCTCTTGGTTTGGTCTTTGGCCTTCTTATCGACAGATATGCAGAAGTACCGATGTTTGACGGAGTAAACGCCCTTAACTGAAGGAAAGAGTCGTGAAGTTTCCGTAAGTATACTATTTCGTAGTTCTGCTAAGGTACGGATCCCAGCTCACTATATAGTACGCCCGTCTTTTACGATGGGAATAAACGAAACGCATAATCAAAAGCAATATTATGGCGGCGAAACGTTTGCTTGTAGACGCAACGACGATTAAAAATGACGTCAGTGGAACTGGCTCTGGTTGGGCTTTAGGATTCAGTTGTCGACGGCAGCCTGCGCTGAATTGTTACGTTGACAGGGCAGTCGATCTCTCTACCGATCGAGTAGAAGCCGCTTTCTGTGAAACCCACGCGAGATATTCCGGGATACAGAATGACAGCAGTGACTGTTCCACCCTTGAATCATTTATTCGCTGATTGTCTATACTCGTTGTCACACCAAGAAGAAAACAAAAAAGAAAAAAAAAGGAAAAAAAAAAGGAGAGAAGAAAGGAAGTTATGCGCATTATTCATTCGCTGCACAAAGTAGTTCTTACAAAGATTGAATTGTCGGAGGAAGAAACTGTGTTTTGGGCGTCTGAAACGTGTACGTCTGGATAAAACAACGGCAGGCTAATCTCGAATTCGACCCCATCATACTTTAATTAAATTCACCACACAAACAAAAAAATCAATAATGTTCCGGGCATATTTTTTTATTGCTGATGAGGTGAACAAGAGTATAGTTAGCTTGGCCACTCGTGCCCTGCCGAGCGTTTTTGTATTTTTCTCACCTCTAATTTCTTATTTTATTTTCCCACCTTTCTTTCCTTCTCTCTTTCTCTTTCTCTCTCTCACTCTCTAACTTTGTTTATTAAATTTCAAATGGAGAAATAAAAATCAAAGTCTGCGTGTAAGGTTTCCGCAATCTTAAGAAACGGGAAAACAACTACATAAATTTTTCCCACGAAGCGACTCCTCTCAATATATGTAGCCCACTCGATTTCATATAAAGACCAATGTAAGCCGCTGACCCTGATGTCTATTTCACTGCGTCATTGTAACGCGAGATCGTGAAAGTTTCATTATTTTTTGTGAGTGTGTATAGTCATGACTATTGTTATTTTTCTCATTATCACTTTTTTGGCCATATCTTAATCGACTGCAATCCACTTTCACTTGTACGTGTTTATTTTGATCTTTTTTTTTTTTTTTGTTAAATAAAATCTGGAGCGTTTCTTTTTAATTTCCCTTTATGTAATGCATTCTTTGGATGCCCTTGAGGTAAATAAAATAAAATTATGAAATAAATTGCGCAAGCAAGAAAAACAAAAACATAAAAGATACCAACGGGACACAACACATTCCACCGAAACAATGCGGTGTTCCTCACGGATTACTCTATATTGTCTACGTACAAAAGAAGAAAAAAAATCGCTCACTCGTACAATTGCTCACCGTTTTACCCACATACACTGCGGCTGCTGCTAAAAAGAAAGAAAAAAAGAAAGAAATGAATGCCCAATCTAGGAGTTTCCCAGAAATCCCGGCGACACGAAGGAAAGAGAGAGAGATCCACGACACCGACCGCCACGCCGATTTAGCCGCACAAATCCTCCCGGAAGATTGCTGCGACTCCCGCTGAAGAACCAGCAACGCACCGAGTGTTGCAACACGGGAGCCTAAAGCCCCACACGGGCTTCTTTTCCTACCCGCGAGCCGCCACCCCGTCGGAGAGAGGAAACATAGAAGTAAGTATACGAGCAAAAAGAAAGCAGTCTCTAATTCTGTCTGGGGTCGTTTCGCTGGCCGGGCTCCTCGATTCCTAATCCAATACACTCGGGCGGCACTCGGCGTGGGCTCCCGGAACAAATGAAGCCGTAGCAATAATTAAACAGATGGTTAGAGGGACGGCAAAGCACGGCTGTTCGTCCATGCCCCCGATGGGAACCCTTTCGTTTGATTGAGGCGTAACGCCCCCGCACAGCTATCTGCTGGCTGCTGTGTGTCAGGTAGCCGTCGCATCTGCAGGGTTCCCGAGCGCTGCGTGTAACAATGGGAAACGTGGTGTTTCCGTTGATACGCTAATAAAAATAAATGTTCGGCCGTCTTTGTGTCTTCTCTTTGTGTGGTGCTCAACAAGACGCAACGGTCTAAGGCATGACAAAAAAAGGGGAATAAAGAAAGTAATTATCTTGGCCGTACTTTGTGGATCACGCGTGAACATAATGCAAGCTGAGTCGCGGTGACTTCGAGAGAGTGGTCTTTTCGTATAGATAGATCGTACGCTGCGCAGAGCCGTATATTGAGAGAGTTTGGTCAATGGAAGGGGAGGAGAAGAGGCATGGCGTGCCCAAGACGCAGATAGAAGGCGTGACGTGCTCTCTTAGAAGCCGAAAATAATTCCCTAGCGGTGGTGGCGAGAAACAATTTTAATAAGCGCGTAAGAGTTACATGGAGTAACTCTTCATGATTGAAACTATAGTGCACGTGATGTTTCGACTATGATCATGCAAAAAGATTTAAGAATCGAATGTGCCGCTCGAACTCTCTTTTGCTCGGTCGCAGTCTGACCGCTTGGACGGTACCTTCCCGACCCTCGGCGCCAGGCGTACGGATCACGTCGATCGCTATCCTAGAATTTGATTTTGCATGACCTTGACCGAAAAATTACGTGCACCTTATTTTCAGTCAGCGAGAGTTACTCCAACGAGCTCATTATTTTGTTTCTCGCGACCACCGCCAGGGCATTATTCGCGGCTTCTGGCTGGCCACATTCGAATCTGTGAAGACGCCCTGGAACACGACCAGCCCGCTCCCGGCCAATGGCGCTTCCTCATTTTACTCCTATACTAGAGTCCCTGGAATACTGGCTAGTCTGCCGTCCGCGCTCCTCTCCCTATGGGGCGAGGTGTCGCGCCGATGATGACGGCGTAGAGGGCGCTGCGGAGAATCGGCGTGCTGTCAAACCGGTCGCGCCAGCCACGCCGGCCACGCTCCACGCGTAGTTTTGCAGGTAGAATGGCTGATATGGCTGGCGTTTTTGGTCACTTCGTAGATCTCAACGCATGATGTCGGGGAGAAAGCGACAGTCCCGCGACAGCACTTGCTTCGTGCCTGGCTGCAGGAGTGGATACCGCTCGTGCAAAGAAAAGTTTTCGCTGTTTAGAACTCCACAAAACTCCGCGAGGCTGCAAGAGTGGGCGTGCAAAATCAAGCGTGATGACAGAACCCTCGGCGAAGCCAGCGTCGTGTGTGAGAGACACTTTGAGCCCCAGTTCATCGAACGAACCTTCAAGAACGTCGTTCAAGGGCAAGTCATTGAGCTACCACGTAGTGTGCCGCAGCTGACGAAGGACGCTGTGCCGAGCGTGTTTCCGGACGCGCCCAAGTACTTCTCGAAGCCAGTGCCTAAAAAAAGAAAGGAACGTAACCTGTGTGATCAGGTGCCACTGCCACTTGTCAAGAGGCACTGCGTGGATGTAGAAATGCAACCTGATGCTGACCTGCCCATTAGTGATGCTTCTCGGGACACTGCTCTCATTCGCGAGTGCCTTGATCTGCTGCCTGCACCTCCGTGGACTAAGATCAACCTCGACGGCAACACAGATCAAATAACCTTTGCTCATTGCCATTTGAGTGAGGAAGGTGCTCTAGGTGTTTTGCACGTGAGCCGTCGCATTGTGCTTGATTTTGCTGCGCCACAGGGCTCAACTCCAAAAGCAACAGTCTATCTTCGTGGAAAGGAAATCAAAAATCAAAGTATAAGCAGCGCAAATGACGTCAAAGTCTTGTTGCACGAGATCGGAAGCATGAAGCTGTGCCCTGGCTATGGTCTGAAACCTATGACAAAAACTTTTGTTTGTTTCAATGGGTGCTACTTTTCAGCAAAATGCTCTCTGATTTCTGAATCGCCCTGCTTGGCGTGCAAGTATATGCGTAAACTGAGCCAAAATGCAGCCTCCAGGAAGAAAAGAATCATCAAAGCAAAAAAATCAGCTTCGAAGAGCCGTGCTTTACGGGTACTGAAGAGGAAATTGGCAAAAGCACAGAGTGCTGTTGAGAGCATGAAAAACGAGAACGAGCAGCTGTCGAAAACAGACTTTCAACAAAGGATGAGTGCTCTGCCTTCGAAACAGCAGCTTGCTGTTACAGCTTGCTTTGAAGCTGCCAGACGTAAGTCGGCAAAGGGCATGCAGTACACGAACGAGTGGCTTCTTGAATGCATATTAATGCGCATGAAGAGTCCGAGACTCTATGAACACATTAGACGACACAAGATACTTGCCCTGCCTGGACGGACGTGCCTGCAAAAGCGGATTCTTGGTTTCAAAGGCGGCTTCGGTTTTAACCAAAAAAATATTTGAAGCCCTTTCTGAGAAGACGAAATGTATGGACAAGTTTGCATGCCATGGAGGCATTGTGTTTGATGAGATGAAGATTTCAGAGCACTTGGATGTCAAGTCAACTGGTGAGAACCTGTTCTTAAGTTGTGGCTCTTCACTGCTATAGTGTTTGTCTCTGCTGTGTACTTTATATGCACATTTGTTTTGCATTTCTAGGCGACTTAGAGGGATTCGTTGACCTCGCACAGTTTACTCCAGAATCACAGAAGGGGCAAGTTTGCGATCATGGGATGGTTGTTCTGTTCCAACCTTTCCAAGGTAAGCGATTCCATTCTGCTATTGCATTTATTGTGCTGCATTGCAGGCGTGAAACAAAACTTTTATTTATTGTCTTTTGGCTTCTTTCCTTAGGTCAGTGGACACAGGTCCTTGGTGTGTTTGCTTCACGTGGAAATGTTAAAGCTGACACCTTGGCCAAAATCATTGTCGAGGCAACAATCCTATGTGAAAAAGCCGGTCTTTTTGTAGACTTTGTCACCTGCGATGGAGCGAGCTGCAACAGGTCAATGTGGAGGATCTTTGGCATACGAGGTAATTCTAGGGATCAAATGCACTATTTTCTGCCTTCACCAGTCACTACAGTGCAGCTAAAGTTGGTTTCTATTAATTTAGGTACAGCGAAAGGAACAAGGTGCAAGACCCCACACCCTGTGAGACAAGCGCACCATCTCCACTTCCTGTCCGATTTTCCCCACTTGCTAAAAAATGTGAGGAACGCCTTCATAGCAAAGGGCTTCAACACTCCAGAGGGTCGCGCACATATTCGCCCTATCCAAGAAGCTTGGAAAATTGACAGCAAGACTGTTTCTTTGAAAGTAATGCCTTCCATTACTCGGGTTCATGTGAGCCCCAACTCTTTCGAAAAAATGAGGGTTGCGCCAGCTTTTCAGTTATTTGGTGACGAAGTCGTCAAAGGACTTTTTCTTTACCGCACGAAGCTGGAAGCTGCATGTGGCTCAATAGAACCAACAGAAAGTTTTGTCAAGAGGATAAACAAAGTTATCAGGGTAATGTCCTCGCGATTCCCAAAGGCAGCCTTGTACGCTAGCTCGCCAAACTACCAGTTTCTTAAAAAGTTCCTGGAGTACCTGAGAAAGTGGGAAAGCCACGCGAAATCTACTGTGGGTGGCTTTCTGAGTTCTAGCACAGCAGAAGGGCTACATGTGACAATTGAAAGCACGCTACATCTGCTTGACTACATCAACACAATCGGGTTTAAATATATAATGACAGCGAATTTGAGCCAGGACAGGCTTGAGAACCTGTTTGGCGTCGTTCGACAGTCATCTGGTGCAAACGATCACCCTACTGCTGCCCAGTTCTTAATCACAGTCAATGCACTCGCATTTTACAATCTAGCCAGGCCACCCAAGTCAGGCAACTGCTCTCCAGAACTGATCAGCTCTCTCATTTCAAACGTTGGATCAGAGTTGCACAAGGAGCGAGCGATAGACATTTTGGACGGGCTGATCGACAAAGGAAAACTTAATGACGCAGAAGAAGCACTCAGCTCTTGCACGCCGTCAGACCACAGTGCTTACGTAACAGAAAAAAGCAATGACTTGCTTATTTACTACATTGCTGGATATGTAGTCAGAAAGACAGTGAACAAGACTTCATGTGAGGTTTGTGTATCCTTCCTGCAAACTGACCAGTACACCGCCATGGAAGAGGATCAGGCTTCGTCATTTACAGCCCACTTCGACAATGGAGGTCTGATGTACCCATCTGGCCCCTTTAGAAACCTTATAACTCTCCTTGAAGATAGTTTCACAACTTATTTCAGCTTACACAAGCTCCACTCCAGGAGCATTAAGGACTTCTTTTCCTTCTTGGTGAAAGTGGAGTTTCCCACATTAGGTTGTCTAGCACATGAACACACCATAACAACAGGTGTAATAAAGTATTATGTACTTCTGCGTTTTCGATTTTACACGAAGGCGCTCAACAATGACAGGATGGCGAAACAGGAGCGTATGAAGCTACTGAAAGAAAGGAGGCTGAAGTAAGATGAAAGCGTGTATTATAAGTAGGGTTCTGCGTTTTCGGAGTTTATTCATTTTTTTTCCCTCGAAAGTGGGAGTGTTTTTGTTTTATTTTTCGGGGCTTAATTTTCTTTTACCGATTTGGTGTTTTTTTGTGTAAATTGGTTAAGTCATAACCAATTTACACAAAAAACACCGAATCTACAAAAAAAAAAAAAAATACCCCCCTCCCAAAAAAGAAAAAGATATTTTGAGATAAAAAAAAAATTAACTCCGAAAAGGCAAAACCCTAATTATAAGCAAGTGTTTTGTTTGTTGTTGTTTTTTTTCCTGAAGCTACAAATAAGCTGCTTTAATGGTGACTCTGTGTTCGTTGTGGTATGTAGTCTGGAAAAAAGAACAGCCACTGTGTGTCTGTAATAAACCGTTAGAAGCTATGGTGTGTTTTTACTGGGATATTTTTACGAGAACCTGTTATGTTGCACAGATAACAGTAATGCCAGTGCTGTTAAGTGCACTGTACAACTATAATTGATCTCATCATAATGGCAAAAAGTTTTCCACTAGAGCGGCGGCAACGCAGGCCACTTTTACTCAGTCAAATGCAAACGCGCGCAAAACTAAAAACTCGCTGCTCCTCAGCTGCGCCCGTCGAACCCGTCGGTAGCACGCCGACTGCTTGCAGCGCCACCGCATCTTTCATCCCGGAAAAGACGCGCCGCGGCCGGCGGACGGCAGACTAGCCAGTATTCCAGGGACTCTACCTATACTTCCCAATTGTGGGGATTGTGATCCCTCAACATTCTGTCGCGTCAGCGTTTTGGCGCGCCGTGGCGGCCGCGCCGACGTAGCGAGAGGTGGCGCTGCTTACCACTGTGAGTGGCTTCCTCCTCTCCCCGTTGGGGCGATTTCCGTAACGGACCCCCGCAGAAAGGAGATCGACGTGTCGCTCCTTGATTGGCCACTTCGCCCCCGCCGTTATCTTAAAACCAGCGGACAGCAGTCTCGCTTCTCTCTTCTTCCTGGGATTCGGCGGCGGCGACAACGGGGAACCTTCCGGCGCACCGGTGAGCGTTTAGCCCGTCCTTTGTACATTTGTGAGCGACCGTTCGGCCGTGGGCGATCTCCACACCGACGGCGTTCACCAGCTTATAGCCGCTGTGTTGTTGTTATTTTGTTTCATTGTAAATAAACAGTTTATCACCGTTACCAACGTGACTGGTGTCTGTTTGCGCTCAACGAGCAGCATGCCACGCGAGTGCGAACCCGCTTCGCGGTAGAGCGTCTCGCCGCGAACGTGGTACTCCCAAAGGCAGTGGCCCTAAGGTGAACCACACAATAAATGGCCAAACTCTCTCAATATGTGGCTCAGACGCTGCGGTATGCCGGTCCTGCGGGCGCGTGCACTCGGTTGGCGATCAAACTTCAAAGTGACGCGTCACGAGCCCCGGAAACTCGAGGCTCATATATATATATACGGACTACAAAAAAAAGTATAATATTTGGCACTTTCGAATGCTTGCAGGGACTGCACCAAATTGACGGTCGCTTGTTGCTGCCGCATAACAGTGTTTAAATGCCGGATACACACTGCTCATACATACGTGACACAAAATACTCGGCGTGCGCTGCAGATATGACGTCACAGTTATCTGCGGACACGCCCGTGCACGTGACCAATGTTAGAGGACCGTCCTAGAGGGAGAAAAAGACACACGTCTTGGTATCGGTGTGAGTGTGACTGGCATTAAGAGCCCCCCACGTGTGGACTCCTCGGTCCTCCAGTGGAGTGTTGTACCAGGCAGGCGTCATAGATACGCTGTTGTAACCTGCAAACATCCGGAATTTTTTTTTTTTTTTTTAGTTTCTGTTGATTGTTTAGGGCGGTTCGCATATCGAGTCAACCGTTAATGAAACCACTCGGTGTTCCTTGTGTAGATGGGGTACAGATTTTCTCACCATTTGCGCCCCCAAAAAGGGTCGAGAAACGTGGCTATATATTTGAGCCTGGACTATCTCTGTGTATACACGAGACGGGGAATGAGTTTGTGTCTGAATTTGGTGAGCCAAGTATCTTTTGTTGAGTGCAATGTCCCACAGCCGCGCGACATAGAAATAGGGAGTTTTAGGATAGGGGGCCAAAGCTTGGGGGCCCCAACGAAACAGGGGCTTACCACTGCGCATGTGCAGAACATAAACTCCGTTTGGGGTTTTGGGTGGGTGCTCACCCCCAACGCAGAATTCGAGAAATAGCCTGGGCCCCCTATTGCTTGGGGCCGGGTTCCGTTGGCAAACATGGCGTCGCCCTTTCCGCTCGCTTCGGAACAAATTCGTCATGGTCGCTGCAGTATTAGCCCATTTCAATGCCAATGAATAGTGCAACCGGCTTTCGCTTTGCTTTATCTGGCTCAAGTCACAAAGAATGAGCGGTAAGCTCACTCCATTTCCAAGATCGTCCCTGATTCTGGCCGTTCCTAAGCCTAAACAGACAGGGCAACTGTTGACATGGCAACGTATTGAAACTCAGTGGCTCCGAGTGGATTTCGTTTGTGGCAAAATACCTGCAGCTTGAAAACAAGTATTTCGAGGCTTCAAAGTCGCTCCAGCTCAGATCTAAATAGAGCAGCTGCTCGCGCAGTATGCTCGCTCGCGTTCGGCTCAGTTTCGGCATAGTTGAAGGCCTGAATCTTCGGCGACAGACGGTCAAAGCACACACGAACGCCCAATAAATCGGAGAACGAGCGCCAAATTAGAACGCGCTGCGGATTGGATTGTTTTAGCTGAATACAGCCAACAACATTAAAGGAGCGACGCAACAATTTTTGTACTTTGCGCAAATACCGCTTAAAACGGATCCATAACGCTAATGACCTATGAAACACACGTTCGTTCTTTACCCCACCCAACAGAAGTCCCAGAAAAAAATTTAAAGGGAAGCTGAAACACTTCTTGAAAAAAACGAGTTAGAGGTGAATTCTGGCGTATTTTTATCCCGTGAATCTGAATATCACTTTTGTTTTCCCTGAAGATGCAACTAAAAGCGAGAAAAAGCGAAAAAACATTCGACCAATCGTGACGTCATACTAGGATCTTCGGGCCGCCAAGCGCGTGTCGCTCGTGTGGGCAGCGCGTGCAACGGCAAGCTTGCCAGGTATATTTCCCCGCACTGACACCAGTCGTGACGGCTCTTTCTGACCTTTCTGAAAATAGCAAGAGTGCGCGTGCATAGCTTTGACAGGCGCTGATGATGCGCGAGAGCAGAGATTCCGAAAGCTCCTAGTGTGACGTCACGCCCCGGGAAGGAGGGGCTTCGGCGGTACTTTAAAAATTAATTTCTGAAGCCTCCGTGCACCAAACTGAAAAATAATCTTGATATTCTTGATCCTGGAGGTAGAATGAAGGCCATTGAAATGTTTTTTTCTCAAATAGAGAACCGCTTCAGTTTCCCTTTAAGAAAAACGAGCAGCGTTCACCCCCTCAACTCGCAGCCAGAACAAGCGGCCACGTGATCTGAAGCCGATTATATGCCGCCAGTGTTGATCATAGCCACGCGCTGGGGTTGGCAAAGCGCAGGACACGCGCTGAGTTCCAGACATTGTTATGGCTCGGCTGTTGTCGTCGTTGCAGCGATTGGACAAGGGTCACAACCCGAATGCTTTTCGAGCTAGCAATTGTCACGAGCCCAAGTCGAGTGCCCACGCAATGCTCGGGTCCAATCTATGAACCTCATTCAAATATCGTCACTTGGGTGTACTGCGATCCCCGAGTTACGTCATCAAATTTTGCAAAGGAGAGATTGAATGAAAATGATCGCTTTTGTCCTTGAAATTACACCGCAACAAAGGAGTTTCTTGGCCAATGGCGTTGCGTCTGAGTATCCTTGAGTCCCAGGTGTGCCAGTAAGTTCGTATAGAGAAAAAAACATTCCAATTGAATATCGTTGCATAGCTCCTTTAACACTGATTTCAGATTGTCTCTTTTTTTAGCCGGCTTGAGATTTACCTTACCTATTATTCGTAAACAAAAAGTACGTGCTAAGCTCCTATTTTTTTTACGTTTATTGATATTTTTCTTTTGTGATTATTACGCTCGTTAGCCTCATTGGCCCTGCAAGCGGGAAACGTAAGCGCGCTGCGCCGCGTTAAGAAACCTTCTATAAGCCGTTTACAACAACCTTGTTGCGTTTGGGCCCCCCAATTTCTTAGGGGAACTCAAGTGTTGGGGCCCGCTATTGGGGAGGAGGACAGACCGTGACGCCCCAAGCGGTTAACCTAACAACTACACGGATGGGGACAACAAATACAATGACGCAGCGTTCGGCCGACATAACCGAACGCGGCGTCAGCGTTCGGCTGGAGTTCGTGTTCTCCGGCGAGGGGGAGGAGGGGCTGTTTTGTTTCCACTATGGCCTGCATGAACAATGCAGCATGCACGATCCCAGCTCAGCACAAAAGCCGAAGTGGGTCAAGCTCGCATTCTCTGAGGAGAGATCCGGCACTTAACGTCGCTTCGTCGATTGTTAGTATTTTTTACATTAAACTGCGCCCCGCGCTCTATTGTAGAAGATGACAGGGCCGTGCCCATAAGGCCTGTCGGCATGTGCACAGGCCTTGTGTTGAGTAAACACCAAGCGTGGGGAAAACAAACGGGTCAGAGCGCCCCCTATAGTTCGATCTCCTGCCCAATTCTTAAACTCGCCAATGTCGTCCGCGTACGGGTTGGCAAAATTCGTGCAAGTTATCAGTGCGATGCTTCTAAAACTTTGGGTCCGTGGACGAAGGTGTTTCTACTTAACCATAATTTGCGCGAATCCTTAGAATAATATTTTTTTTTACTGCGCGATCTAGTTTCTTGTTTCAAACGAAAAAAAAAATTAAAAAAATAAACTACTGTTTTGCAAAACAAAAAGAAAAAAAAAACTTGAGTAAAGAACAGATTACGAACAACGCCGCGTCGGTCCATCTCAGTCGCTGAAATTTCTCTTCGCGTAGTTATATCATAATTTATTTTCGGACTTTATTACAACGGCTACGTATCCTCACATTCTGTCACTTGTCTATTCCTTTCGCGGCAAGACGAAAAAGAAATCATAGTCGGAGCATGTTTATCGCAAACAGATTTCTCGAGTATTTGGGGCACGGTACGTGCACAGCCCTGATACCTTTATTGTCGCTTCCTATTCTGGACGACAGCAGTATTGTCCTAATATGTCGATGATGATTGTGGCATCAGATAAGGCCATTGTGGCTCGCCAGTCTTACTCTTACTTCCGGTGGGGTTGTGATAAATAGGTTGACTAAGCATTTTGCTATCGTTTTAATTTTACAGTGCGCGCACAGTTTGTAGCATTAGGAAGGCAGTGCCAACATCTTCATCGGTTTACATATATTAGGGAAAACGAAGAAAAAACATATTTCGAAGTAGAGT